CAAAACCTTGTCGTTGTAAGTGATCCAGACTAGTTGCAAAAAGCTCTTTCCTTTCTTCTCGGGAATTCGGTTGTCTCCGTAGACTCGTTTCCTATCAAAATGGAGCTCGTCGGATCCATGCTTACGAGCGGTATTTGACCGAGTGACCGGTGTTTGCGGGCTATCTAGACCTTCATTGGCCAGCTTGGACAGTGAACGATCCGTCGCTTTCTCGAATGAGACCTTTCCATCTAGATGCTTCTCGTCTGGACTCAGGCCCGTATTGCGGTTAGTGCGAAGTCCTTTTTCCATGCCAACAAGACCTCCAAGCTGATAGAAGGCAGATAGACTTTTAGGATTGAACATCTTCGTGAGCTGGCCGGGGCTGTACGCAAAGGGGTTATCCTCCACCACAAAGTCGGCCTCCTTGCCTACATCCGGCTTCAAGGCATTCTCGTCATTCATAATCTTCCCGTTATCAAACGACTGCTTCGTTGATATGGCGCTCTTCTCGCCAGGCCACGATGTCGTCCCCGTCACAGTATCTCCTTGGGAGGAAATCGACCGCGATCCATCTTCGCTATCGACAGAATTTTGCCTTGAACGGTGGTGGTTGTCCGGTACCGAAAGAAAAGCTTGGCCCTTCTCATTTCCTCTAGAAGTGACCGGGCTCGAAACATTATGCGGACTGGTCGGCCGGCTATCCCTGGTACTATCAAAGGAATGCGTGGGCCGCCCCTCTCCCCTGGTACTCGCATTCGACGGCTGATGAGCTAGGGGAGCAGCTGTCTTCTCGGATGATGTCCAACTCGCAGCGAGTGCCGTCGGGCTCGTCGATTCGTCATGGGGAGGAGACACGGGTGAATGCTGGGGAACAGCGGCTGTAGGCTCGGTGTCATTTGTTGTGTCAATTGTTATCGTAGGACTAGATACATAAAGTCAGCATACCAAGATATACGCGTAAATAGATACTTAGCTGTGGTTCATTTATTGAAGTCGACTTACGCTCTCGCTCTACGAGGTGTGCCCTCGGGACCATCCTTAGTAGGATCAGACATGTCGCGTATATCGATGAATTAAATGCTTCAAAGGATACTAGACAGATCAGAAGATCTAGCGCGCAGGGAATGATTTAGCTTGAGCACAGCCTCGTGACGGGAGCAGATATGCGGTTGTAGGCGAAATGGTGCGCGCGCAGCAACCGGCCATCGACGGAGGGTAATATCGGCGGCGATGAGGCTGAAAAGACGAGAAGGAATTGTAGAAGACAATTGAGGTCCTGTGGAAAAGGGATAGACTCAGAAAATAAGAATTCCCAATTGCCAAAACAAGCTCGCAAGATGGCTCCGCACGGTATGAGGCGCAGTTGAAGTTTGTCGTTTGCGTATTCGTTTTCCACTCCCTGTGCCTATCGGGCGCGTTGGATTCCGAAGAGTCAATAATCCAAGGGCCAGGGGGTCGCGCAATAGAGGCGAAATAGGCACGTATTGTAGGGTAATTCGTGTTGTCGGAGTGACTCGTGGGGATCTGATCGGCGATTGTAAACAACGGTCACCAGTCGAGGTCAAAAGGGTCGAGAGGGTCGAGACCTGGGATTCGGTACTATGGATGCCTCGCAAGAATGATATGAGGTGTAAATAATACGACGATGCTATGGGAGGAAAAACTATGGCATGTTTCGGGAAGGTGTCTGTAACGTCTAAACGAGGCACAGATGTCCGACTGGTAGGCACCTTATTACGATCGATGTGAATGCCGCACGCTGAAAAGGTCGACAGAGATTGAGGCAGTGCAAAACTAGCACCTATTAAAGTTGTCTCGGTTCTTCAATTGGCGTTGACGAAGAGGCAAATAGGCAAATGCCACAAGAAAAAGTAAAAGTAAAAGTGCCAGGTAAAGGTCAGAGGTAGAAGAAGTACGTCCGTTCGCCAGTCAGTCCGTCAGCCAGTCACTCAAATCTTGACACAATTGACAAAGGCAGAATAATAGTCTTGACTGGTGACCGTAGGGATAAAGACGACTGGAAGCCCAAGTAGTTGTTTGTAGCACAGAGGACCCAGGCCACTCTCAGAACCCGAGGCCCTGGTTCCGCAGGTAGGGTGAGAATTAAAACAAACAAAAAAGAAAAGGGCTACCAAGATGGTAAAGGAATCAGGATTTCAATGATCCGACATGACCAGAAGGAGTGAATGGCAAGTCTGATGAGTAGAGGAAAGAAGAGACAGCGAACTACGACAATTCGGCCAATGGGGTTATGGATGATCTTGACTAGAAAGCATTTCGTGCAGCCAAGGTACCCAACCTGGTAAGAGTAGGTACCTGTCCAGGGGTTAGAAGGTACGTGAAAGTGACTTTCTAATCGCACGGCCGAAACGCGCTAATGACCGCATTGGCGGAACCTTGGTGGAAGTCTTCCCAAGTGTTCTACGTACCTACATGTACGTAGCGTCAATACTAACCGAAAGTTTATCGCGCCTCGAAAACGGTTAACTCCAACCAATTGCGAACATTCCTCTGCTTATTGTTTGTGCAAGACGACAGAATATTGCTACTTCATATTCCTACCTCTACCAACCCGCAAACAATAAGCAATACTATGTAAGTCTTATCGACTGTCACCTGGCACAACTAAACTTAGACCGCGTGGTCGGTCTTGGTAAATTACAATAGACAAGAAAGACGAGGGATATGGGGCCTTCAAGATAAAGGCCTGATCGTCGTGTCATTCCCGCTCACATCGCACATCCCAGGTCGCCTACGACAACTGAGAGTGGAAATCCCCCGTCCTCTGCTGTTCAATATCCTACACACGTACAGAATACGTAGACCATGGTCCGTGGTTATTACTTGTCAGGGAAAAGCTACGCAGCATTCGGCGAATTAGGGACGACTCGAGCAGGGTTCAGAAATTGCCAAGAGGGAGGCAGTGCAAAACCTCCCTAGCAATGACCGGCTTTGGGTCCATGGACGCCATGCGATTAAACATCGGGGCCCATCTCGATCTATTTGTCTACACGCAGCTGAGTGGCATTTGTCTTGATTTCAATTTTTGCCTCACTCAAGAGTCCAAGAGTCCAAGCTATTTAGACTCTCTAGGCAGCTGAGTTGGTTCTGGGTTTTTTTTCCATTCAATATGGCGCACGACAAGACACCGAGCAGCCCTGGCGTTATTGCCGCTTCCAACACGGACGGGTGGCCAAACCCAAACATGCTGATGCCCATGTTTCACGTGACTAAATATCTCCCCTTTTTTTATGAAAATTGTGCACTAGAAACGGATCAGATTGAAAGTCCAGAACGGAAAATCACTTTCAGGCTACTATAGCTATACGCCACATTATTCACGCAGTGAAAGCTACCTAGGCGTCTAGACATACAAATTTAGCATTCGATATTATGCCCTATGGCTGAGATACTGCTTCTATTGGTAATTAAGAGATTAAGTGACGAGTCCCTGTTCTATATTCACGAGAAAATATAATCCCGGAACCAAACCAGGATCTACTATTATTATGTGCTTATAATAAAGAGTATAGTCCTAGCAACACCCTATGTATCGGATAGAAAGACTCGGAAAGACTGAGTTTGATTCTATCTAAAGCAATGGCCCTTATGACTTTGTATGCTACTCCACCATGAGAAGACAACAGCCAACGTTTAATTCGATTATAATAGTAATATCCCAATGTTTAGTCTCAAATCCCTACTATATTTTCCAACACATCTACAATCATATGCCTCGAAGAGTGGGTGTTAGTATCATTATTCTTTGAGTATGTCTTTTCTTATGTACCTAGGCACCTATGTTAGACTAGTGAATCAGGGGCTCTACATGTTGCCATACTCTATCCAGTCGAAAAAATTCCATTGGTATCTAACAGCACGGACGGTCATGAGATGCATATGACGGAATTAGCCAAGTGGAGTTCTAACTTGGGTGGACAAAGAAACTGACTTCGAGGTGGCCAAGCTGCTTTCTCTGATTTAACTGGACGCTTTCTTTCGGTGACGCGTACAACAATTCGGCTAGGGGAGTGATTTAAATGGGCAGTTCCTAGTTGAATATCCAGAGCTAGATGTTAATGTTTGATTCATTTCGAGAATAGTGATAAGTAGCCAGAGGTCGTCTACAAAGGTAGAATTTGAATGACAAGGTCTAGATGTACACTTTCATGACAAGCCAACTATATGTAATAGAGGATCATGTTCTTATCTTATTAGTTCATGACGGGAGGAAGTCATTTTCTTATAATTTACTTCCCAGTCTATCTTGTTCGTTCAAAACATCTATCTCGGTTTTCAGTAATCTCTTCAATTTATTAGGAATAGTAATAGTCAATTCTTGGCTCGCCGCCTAAAATTCATAGTCGGGATTAATTAAAGCTCTTATCAATAACATTGTCCTTTGGCTCAATAGTATAGCTCAGACTTCTCAAAGCATATTAAAACCTCACAGCATCAATTGGTTCGACTCAGCCTCGAGATAGCTGTGGGTCACGTAGAGTTGCTCTGATTGGCTACCGCTCAGCTGGGAATACTTCTATGCTCTATGGATTTCATTCGGGTTTCTAAACCACACCAAACACTCTGAAATTAGATAATACTGCCGCTATCAGATACATCTGTTATCTAAGTTGTTCTTTATCTTAGGAAAGTACTAAACCAGGGCGATTTGCCAAGGTCTCCCTTAGAGATATTCTAAGTTCGAAATAGTCGATGCCAAGACTATAGAAATATATAAGATGCCTCAGTGCATCTCCGTCATAGTTAATGTTGATAGGGCTATCCCTTCCATTTATATTATATATAGTAATTATAGGAAGGGGAAGTCCCAGACTAAGGCTATGTACGCAAGGTACGCGTATCAAATGTTTGACTGCACCTGCATGTACGTACCTAACCGAAGGCACGCTACGAAAGTATCGGAGCGAATCGGTGTTTGTGCCCAAAAGTAAAGTCACCAAGTGGACCATTGATATGTTTGAATAACTCAGCAGAAATTCACCAACAAATCAAAAGATGGCATCTTGGCGGAGTGGTTAACGCGATGCCCTGCTATTAATTAGGAAGGCATTTCCTTCGGGAGCGCAGGTTCGAATCCTGCAGATGTCGATGTCATATACTTTTGCACTTTTTACATTCATACCAAAATATTATTTTTCTACTCCAAATCAATAAGAAGTTTTTACCTGCGAGTTATGAGATAACAGAATCTCTTAATACTTCGTACACATCGTCGAAAAACTATCACTTAAAGACACTTATAAGACTCTATCTAGGTCTATGTTATATACCCAGGTAATGCATCGGCTTTTGCCTCTCCTCTCGAGTGGATCGTATACACTTCTACCCATCGTGCTAGTAGTTAGGGTATTAATAGAAATAGGCTCGATTCCTATGTATTAGCGCTATTAGTATTCCGCTGGTACTATATTTCTAGTGAACCTTCGAGGCGGTGAGGGTAGCTGTTATGGTTGATGCGAAGTTCGAAGTTCGAAGTTCCATGAACCGAGCGGATAATCAGAAATCCGTTTATTATGCGCCAATTAGCGGAAAGGATTATGGAACCGTAACGGACAATATTATACCGCTTAATAAGTGGTAGTCCGTAAAGTAGCGCGTCTTGACCATTCATCAACACTAAAACCTAACGGAATCGGGCTCCTATCATAAACTTCTCCTACCAGACTTCAACGCTGGGTCAGTGTTATACAGTACCAGCTTCCTCTTCCACCTGCATAGAGCAATGTACCTTTAAGGTATCGCGTCGAGTCAAGATCTGTCCCAAGTTGCGGTCTGTACCTGTATCAGTGTCTGACCTTGGTTAGGCTTGATATGATACCCAACCTGGGCTCAAGAATCCACACTTGGCAGTATGCCTCGTGTTCAGCCAAGGTGCCCCAAGGTGCACCAGGCGCAATTCCTGTCAGGAACAGCATACTCTTCCAGATACTATAGCCTATAGCACCGGCATTATAATCGGCACTCGACCTAATACTGAAAGCTCAGTCTCTACTAAGCTTTGTACAACGTCACGGACAAGTCAGCCCAGCCAGTCGAGGTCGGCCTCGCTGTCGCAGATAAGGGCTAACACCTAGCCACTTAGAAGGTTGACATGCGAACGGCACCGACGTATCAACTACACAAAATCCACGTCTTGTCCACGTGGGACACTGGGACGACTCCTCATTGGAAAAAGGTTGTCTCGCTGACTTTTCCCGATCGCCTGGTGGGAGTCTTGGATGCTACGCAATGTCAAGGCCTCATTTGTCGATAGGTGAGGAGGAACAGTGGCTTGCTGCCTTCAAATGCAGGTTACCTGTAACTTCTTTCCTTTTTTTCTTCTGTGCAACTCCTCCTGTCAGCTAATGTGGGTGATGTTCTTACTCACAAATTGCATAACTCTCGCTTCATATCGTCTCTCTAAGTCGTTCTACCATTTGGGGAAATTAGTCGAAACAGCATGAACAGCGCAACTTACACGTTACGGACACTAGTACCCATACGGATAGCACTTATTAGGCAAATGGGAGCTCGAATTTCGCATGTGAAAATATGGGGAACGGCGGGTACTTATCCATCTGGGCGACGCGTTCCGCGAGTCCGCGCCTTGGATTCTTTGATTACTCATTATCAAAGCCCTCAATGCTAATAATAAGATATATTACACTATGTTATCACCTTCTAATCTGACAGGTTGATCAACCCGAATATTCCCAAATCATTATCCATTATCAGAAAAAGCAACATCCCCGCTAACAATTTCATATATATTTCCCACATCACCCAGGAATATATGTGGCTATTATATCTCAAGGCATATTCTCTAACGTCGGTGTTTGCAGTTGAATATGAAGATGTACGTCTTCACAGAAACGTCCGAAGAATAGAGACGAACATCCTGGAAATCCTGTGCCACTACGACAAGGAACTTTTGTAGGACGTGTAGTAGTGCAGTAGTAGTAAGCACCTCCCTGCATGGATTCATCGAGGGATTCCAAGCTGCCGGCGCCATATACCACCTCGCGCCGAACATTCGTCTGATGGACATATCCCTCCAACCGATCCCTCGCCCCCGGAACTGAACACTTTCCGGGATGTGTCATTGCGGCTCAGCTGTGATATGCAACTTGAGATGCTCTCCCGCCGCCTATGCAGCTCTCCTGGGTTTCAGCTTTGTAGGTCCACGCCGTGAGACTTGTTGAAGAGCAGTCATGTTTGGCGAGATGCCTCTTCACATATATTACACTACCAGCCTAACTTAGTATCCGTTCGCAGCATGGCATTACTGGGGTTACATGTCTACCATTATATGGCCGAGACATAATATATATCTCGTAGTACTACAGCAGCTTGCATCTGCAATCAAGAGGCACAGAAATTAACCTACAGAAGACATGCGCCAAGACTGGGGTTCTTCTCTTCCCCTATCGTCGCAACATCATCTCTATTCTCTCTCCCACGTAAGCGTATTGCCTCCCTCTTTTCCAATATCGCAAATCAGAAAAATACTTTGAAACAACCCATCCGTCCCGTGTCCAATAGGTAGAGAGAGTTTTGAGAAGGAGAGTCAACACAACACACATCCGCGGGGCTGTGCTTGTTGTGCTGCATTCGCACAACGTTAAACCCGTCGCCTCCCGTCTAAATCTCGAATCTCCTTGGCTCTTCACCAAGGCATCGGGATCAAGTGCTGCATTCAACCATCCAATTAGGACTGACGAGAGCTAGAGACCTAGCGCTCGATCTAGTCACCTCCGTGTGGCAGTGCTCGATAGTCCCGAGTCAGCTCATTTAACTACACGTCTTGTCTATCGTCATCCATCGTACATGATCGTTAGCTTGTACCTACATGTACATATATACCGTCTAATAAGGCGAGGCCAAGGAGAGCATTGAAATACTCCGAATTTCGCATATGAGCACAAGAATTTTCTAACCCAGATAGTTAGGTATAAATTCATGGGTTAATCAACTGCGAGGGCATCGTGGTCTTCTTTTCTAGAGCAAGTTCTTGGCTTGGGCTCATACAGACCAAGTCGTAAAATAGAGCTCGGTGAGGCAACGTCAGACTTCGATCCTCCTTGGGTCCTTGGCTTCGTCGCCTCACGACTATCTCACGACGATGCTCATACGATAGAACCAACAGGATCGCTTCGCGTAAAGGAGGAGGAGTTGGTGAACAAGCATCTGATGTCGCGCTTCGCCATGTTCCATAAGTACGAGAATCATATCCATAATTCCGGGCTTACTCGACAAGTCGTCGTCAGTGCTTACCAAATTTCATGAAAGCGCACCTCATGGGTGAACCGCGTGTAGCTATCCAAGGGGCCGGCAACTTTGATATGAGACGGCAGCTCTCAAAAATATAATTATCCCTTCGTGTTCAAATGTAGAACGGCAAAGCATACTTCGGATCGAGTTACGAACCGGGTGGCAAAGCAACAACGCGTGAAACATGATTCTACCACCATGACAAGAACTCCTATCCTCGGTATGCCAGGAGGAGGTTACTCTCGAAACACGGATCGATCGTGAATCTACGTACTCCGCCTTCTTAACGTTCCACCACGTTCAACAGCTTGAACCATACGTTCCACTGGATAATGAATTATCGTAGTACTTAGGCCTCTATGACTGGTATGTCAACGTAGATAAAGCCGATTAGTATACGTGTATGTGTATGCCTGCACGTAAATGAGCAAGCCGCCCGCTCCGGGCCGTAGTCCGTACTACCTGGACTCGACGGGTTTTGAGTCCAGCAAGTCATCAGCTCAATGCAGCGAGTAGCACGACATAAGATTACTGTATGGCAGTAAAGGCCTGAAGAGCCCAAACACCACGTATGCTGTCGAGATCGATTTGTACCTAGGACACAGGTTATGGCATTAGGCATACCTACAGGCTAGAGCTCGATAATCATATGCGTTAACAATTAATAAAGAAGATAGTCAGCAGAGAATATGAGGCAAAGACGGGCATCTACAAAACATGTATTAGGTATCTAAAGTAAGAACCTTAGACGCCTAGAAAATTGAAAATGAAAATGAAAATAAATAAATAAGAGCTCCTAATCGAACATAACGTATTCGGAACTAGTTCTAGAGGCTCGTCAGCATAGTCGAAGAGTCAGTTATGGAGAGATCCTCTTGATGATAGACACATCGGGGGGAAGTGTCTCTGGCCCAAGTCATTTACTATGAGAGAGGGTTAGTCTCTCATAAACCGAGTGCTATATTGACATATACCTAAACTTACCTAGGTAATTACTCTAATACCAAGGAAGGCAGGGAGGCAGGAAGTTAGGCGATGTAGTTTCTAGCTAAGCATGAAGACACTTGAATATATAGGAGGTACCTAAGACATGGAAGCATTGTGTCAACTTCGTACATCGACACTCTATACCGGTATTCCACGTCTATCTCTCCCCCCTACCTCTATAACAGTGCCCAAGCATCTACCGTCCCAAATCCAAACGTCTAACAAGAACCATCTGGTCCTCTCCCTCCTCCCCATCCCCTACCCCTACCCCTACCCCTATATCCCTCCCATCACCGCCATCACCACCACCCCCTAAAAACGGCACCGCCGCCCTCCCCAGCACCCCCTCCCACAAGCCCTCAACCAAGCCCCTAAGCTCGTCGCCCGTCTGCTTGAAGTCAGGAAACGCGTTGACCTCGAGCAACCAGGGGGTACCCGCAGCATCGACAAGGAAGTCGAGGCCGAAGACCTCGAACGCGTTGGCCAGCGGCCGGAAGTGCATGAGCATAGCGCGGGCGGCGGCCTCGAAGGCCTCGCCCGTGACGTCGCAGACCTGTCTGAATATGTCGTCCTTCGCCTGCTGCCGCAGCGCGATGTCCCAGAACCGCTGCACCGTGCCGTCGCGGACGGAGCGCTGGAGGCACGTGTTGGTGAGGTGGGCCTCGAGGTCGATTTCTTCCGTGGAAGGGGAAGTGGTAGAGGGCGCGACGTACGGCTTGCCCGCGAATAGCGCAAGCATCTGCTTGTAGACGTAGACGTCCAGGCTGCCGATACACGCGACGTACGTGCGTATGTGGAACTTGCGGTTGTCGCCGGGTAGTAGGAGCGGTGGGTGGATGTAAGGCTGAGCC